ACTAGAGTATCATGGCATCTCTCATTCTGAAATCTGATTTTAGATAATATAAAATACAATGAAATACTTCTGAATTTATTTCAGTTTTTTTTTCAAATGGATTGAATAAAAACTAAAAGTCATACTTCCAGTGGATTTGCTAACAATTGTTATTATTTATTGATTTCAGGACATAAATGCTTTTTAAAGATCTAAAATACTTAATTAGCAATTGTCAATAGATGATTCTTTTCTTCCATTGTTATAAACTGAATTTTAATACTGCATATTATTATAATATAAAAATATTTTGCAAGAATTCAAATTAATGAATTTAAATACATTAAATGTATGTATATTTGCTTCTTTGATCATAATATAGAGTACTGATACTTTTTGTTTATGTTAGTATTTCTTATTAAAATAAATTAGCAGACTCAGTAGACTTTAGGTACAGGTATATGATTGAAACAGCTTTTGTCATTCTAGAATATGATCTACACTGGAATCTTAACAGGAGTATAGTATTCTAATTGAATTACTGAACTTTACAGCAGAAAAGTATCCTTCTTAGACAAGGATGAACTTCAGAAATACCAGACATAGGCAAAGTGCCAATCAATCTCAAAAGATTATAAACAGGGTAGGTCATATGTTGATAAAAATAGCCTTTCTTGGGAGTACACATATTATATAACTCTATACCTTGGAAAATAGGTGACTTCCTACCACTCAGATGACCTTTTTCCATCAGTTACTTAAGACCCCCTCTATGATGGTATTAGTTTCAGTATCCAAATAAATTCCATTTTAATTATTACATTTCCCTCTACTATAACTTTTCTTTGTAACCTTTAATAGCATCACCTTATATTGCTTTAGTTGTCATTAGTTGCCTAAATAGTCCATAAGAAGGCTAAAATATAAACGTATATATTGATTTCTGCTAATGTACAGTATTATTAAAATTCTAACATTTATTCTATTCATGAAGATGTGTGAATTGAAGAAGAGTTCATACAATGGAGAACAATTACTGGTGAGCAGATTAACATAATTATTAGTTGGCACATTACATAAAACATTGATACATCTTCACCATGTTAAATAATTTTCTAAATTTGGGATTACTACATAAAAACTGTGGATTTACCCAGATTTGAGACGTGAACTTTTGACCATGTGACCTGCATCTAGACGTCCTTTAGGAATATGATCTTGAATGGGATCCACAAATTTAAATACATGAGAGGTCCCAAACTGAACTTTCATACCACTTTGCAGCATAGTGGTCTCAGAGATCCGTTGACCTTCTACGTAAGTTTCAGCATCAATGCTTCTGGGAGTCACTGTAACAACTCCATCCATGTTAGTAAGGTCACAGTGATGTGACTGAATTCCTGGACCAAATAACTGAACATAGAAATAATCAAATTGAAAGCAAAATAATAATAATCAGGATTTAAAAATAAATATAAATATGCAATCATCTATATAACTCAAAGAGACATCTATTTTCTCTTATTAAACCACAAATTGTTGCAAATTGATGGCACATAACCAATCATCAATCAAATATTATGTAAGCAGGACAGAGTTGTTAGACTGTAATGGGATCAACAATTAATTAATGATCAATTCCTTTCCAATAATAATGCTCTTATTTTAGAAAGTTACATTGTATTAATATGTAGCCTATTTCAATATACCACAATTTGCACCTTTTAACTACTAAAATGTAGCAGTAAAATTCATTTTAAAAAAATCAAATAATTATTCATTTTTATTATGTTTTATCTTGTTGAAGCAAACGGAGAGCATTTGTTACTAAGAAGTGATTGCAAAATTGAAATGAGATCTGTTCCAGGGTATGTTTCCAACCAATTTTATGCTTTTATTTACTAAGATGTGTTGAACTGACAATTTTATCACTCAATAATTCCTGCCTAAATGTGTCCTTTATTATTTCTGTGGTTGTGAATTATTTTCAGAAGTAATTATTATAAAATGTTTTAATAAAGACAGAAACTAAAATTGACAAAATCTATGAACACAGAACAAAATGCTACGAAAGTATTTTAGAAATCATTGATGAAACAGAAACAAAATTATATTTTGCATTTATTCAAATTTAATCTAAGCCATGATTAACTAATACAAGACAGTGCTTTAGGTTTGTGAGGACCTTTATCCTCTCAATATTCGTTTGCCACATTAGGAATCCAATACTTCTGAATCCAATTTAAAATATATAACAAGTGCTATCAGATCAGAATACTAAGAATATGGAGCAAGAGACAAATGCTAATTTGCAAATCCACATTTTTGCAGACCATTATTTGGTGGGCTTTTTACAAATAGCAATAGCACTTAGACNTGAGGGGAGGATGGATGGGCCCACCTGAAGGTTGGAGCGAACCAGTTCTCTCTCAGCTGATCTTTGGAGCTACAGGTTCTCTAGAACCAGGCCAAATCAATAGAATCCCACCCTTGGCATTAGCCATGGTTTACTGAATGAATCTGAAATGAGACCCTGCAGCACCAAGGGGAGAAAATGCATCTTCTCCTGAGAAGGCTTGCATAAAATTTGCATATACTGATTTACATGTATAACTCCACATTTATAAATAATGACTGCACCTTCGGTGGAATACAATGTATCTTAGCCTGCATGGAAATCTGTGGGAAGCCAGCTCAAGCTCTGTGCAGATGTTAATTGCTGATGCCCAGTGTCAAGGCTCCTGCTCTTTTGATTTATTATTTTAATTGATTTGGGATTCAACAGATCTTCAAACAGAAGACCGCCCTTCTAAAATGGGGCACATGGCAACTCAAGATCCAAGCTGCTGCTAGTTTAGAAACCAGTTCTGTGTTGCATGTTTTAGTTTAAAGGAAAAAAAATCACATTTTAATCCTTGATTCCATTTTCTCTGCATTGTTTCACCTGCTTTGTTTTGGCATGTGCAGCCCTTGCCCAGTATTTCTTTCTAGCTGCCTAAGAATCCTTGATGGCATCCATATTTTTATCTCTTTAAAATATATATTATTCAGATAATATGAAACAAGGATGCTTATCGCTAGAAGTGAAGCTAGGCACTTCTTTTCTGCCTCCTGCACCCCCTCCACTTTTCATAAGTTTATTGGACTAATTGATTACGATGAATAATACATCTATAACAATATCTCCCACTGCCCCTCCCCTGCTGTTAAAATTGAAGCTTTAATGAAAGTTTGCTTTAATTATATCATCCTACCCCTGCTGTTAACAGACTGTATAATATCTAACTGCAACCCTCAAAATGCTCTGTGTGAGCAACTCCCGGGGAACATTCTAGAGCAGCAGTCGGAAATCAGCTCCCCTGCGTTAGAGAGCTTTATAGCACAGACAGACAGCCAGAGCACACTTGCTGTAGTCTAGCTTTGCTGAAATGAAGGAAAACCATAGGAGGCACAACTCTGAGTGCTGTGTGAATCACAGACTGGGTGCATCCAGCTCCCTGCTCACCTCCAATGGAATAACACAACTTGCTGCAGCCAACATGCCATGGTCAACTCGCCATGGCCATGGCCAATTCATCACAGCCAACTCACTGCAGAACAAGTCAAGATGGTCAACTTGCCACAGGACAACCCACTGCAATGCAATGATTTTAAATATATATATATATTTTAAAAAATCATTCACATTTCATTTTGTCACTCCTTTGGCATCCTTTCTTTAATTATTCTATTCCACTATTTGTCAACTCTGAAGTGAACCTGGCTGAAGCTTCTTGTGCTGCCTCATAGTTGCCCCAAAGCCAGAAAGGGGGAAGGGAGGGAGGAAGTAGATAGCCAGGCTCCAGTTGAAACAAAGTGCTTTCTTGTGGGAACCAAGTTCATTGAAACAGGTGCCCATTGAAAGTGGAGAAGAGTTTGCCTTCCATCTTCATTGGACAATGTGACCAGTGACACTTGGGAGTGAGGGGTTTGATTCTTTTAATTAGGTGAAAATCCCGGGAACTGTGAGAGTTGGTTTTTACCAGCTGTGCTGATACAATGTTATCCAATAAACATATCTTCTGAGGAATCGACCTGCCTCGGAGTTATGCTTTCAATGGGTGTATTACTCAGTACGCTGACACTATTTCTTCAATATTAGTATAACTTTTGTCCTGCGGCACATTGGCCACCATGAGTTGTCATAGACCCAAACTCCCAAATGCAGGTATAGTGTTAATTATAAAATACACATACGTTTTCAGGCATATTGCCAATATGTTTACTGACTTGTTTATATGCAGCAAACAAATTCTTTGCACTGTGCGCCACACATATTTTCTTCTGTCAAAAGACAACCCTCAGTATTCACGAACATTTCGCAAAGGAAAAACACTTAAAAGCTAAAAGCAAGGGAACTGAAACATAATAGCCTTTTGTCCAGGCAGTGGGTAATTGCAATGTTTTTAAATCATCTTTAAAGAACTGGAGAGCAATTATGCCCACATTTCCAAATTAACCTGGTCTTAATTACACATCCCTTTATATGTTTTTATACAATTTTTCACATATGTGCTTATTATTTTTTTGCCACTGAAAATGTCCCCATAATTAAAATGCAACCTTTTATTGTTAATAACACAGATTGGGAAAAAAAGATGTGCTCTATTCAAACATACCACCTATGAACTTGGTCTGACGAGGAAGGACATTTGATCATGAAAATCAGGCTCACTTTTAATTGAATACCATTTGGAGTTTTTTTCTCTGCCTTTTCAAAACACGAAAACACAGCAAGTTTACAAAATAATCAGACCCGTTTATAATTACAGTATGAAAACGGGTTGAAAATAATTTGAAAGAACTTTCAAAACTCAAGTTTTCATGTGAATCTGAAAAAAAGTTGCTGATTTAAAGAATCTATTCCAATCCAACGATGAAAGCATTACTACTTTATTTTTCCCTGGCTCATGTAAAAATATGGAAAATGTTGGGGAAGGGGCCTTTACTGAAAGGACTTGCAGCTATTTTTTGAAGCAGAGAGAGCCCTGTTGAAAGTACAGATAGACCTTGGCTTAAAACAGTTCATTTAGTGACATGACCTTTTTTCACACTTTTGACCATTGCAGCATCCCCATGGTCCAGTGGTGGATTGCAGGCAGTATACCCCGGTACGGGCATACTGGTGCTGCCGGGAGCACCGGGTACTGTTACGGTACAGTGCTCCAGAGGGCCCACCTGCCCACCCACCCTCCTTACCTGTATTTGAGTTCTTCGGTACTTCTGCACATGCGCATGGAGCGTATGGTCCCTGCGTGATGCTCTGCCGAGCAGCTGCAGCATTGCGGAGGCGTCGCAAAGGTAAGGATGCATGCAGCGTGTGCGCGCGTGCTATGTGTGTGCATGTGGGAGACGCTGGGCCCCGTTGCACCATACCGGTTGCAACAGGATCCGGAACCCACCACTGCCATGGTCACATGATCAAAATTCAGATACTTGACAATTGACTCATATTCATGACGGTTGCAGAGTCTGTGGTCTCCTTTTGTGACCTTCTGATAAGCAAAGTCAAGGGAGAATCCAGTTTCACCTGTGTCAGTAACTTAACAGCTGCAGTGATTCACTTAACAACTGTGGCAAGAAAAGGAGTCAAATTCATTTAAATGTCTAACTTAGCAACATAAATTTTGGGCTCACTTATGGTTGTAAGTCAAGATCTACCCGTACAGTCCCCTTATTCCATAATATTGAACAGTGCACCTTGTCTTCTACTACAGAAAGAGCTTCAGTGCAAAGCACAAGGTTATCTTTATTCAATTTCTCTATAATACAAATGCAAAATGCATTTTAGCCTGATCTTTATTGAAATTCCTCCCTTTGATTTATTTTATGACATTTCGAGGCCACCCATCTTCAGATGACTCTGGGAAGCAGACAATTAAAATGAAGGAAAAAAAACAAGCAAAAAACCGTGCACATAATTTATGTTATGTTATAAAGAATTTTTTGAATAAAAAAAAACCCTTAAAGCCTTTGTGTATTGCCATGAAACCAGTGGTGGGTTCCCACCGGTTTGCACCGGTTCAGCTGAACTGGTAGTGGTTTAGCGGCCTAGGTTTCTGGAACTGGCAGTGACTCAGGTCTGCCACACCTCTGAACTGGTTCTCCGGGCGGTGCCATAGGCACCACCATTTTATTTTTCTCTTCTGCGCATGTGCCGAACAATTTTCATTGTGCTGTGCATGTCCGCAATGCACCCATGAGTGAACTGGCAGTAGTGCCTGCCAGAACCCAACCCATTGTGGTATTGGATATGCTACTGTTTTTGGACCAATTGTTATGGGCTAATTTGTCCGTGAGTCCTTCTTCTTAGCCTGTTTGAATACTATGATTGAAAAGATAGAATTCAAAAATATGATAAAGTTTCTAGGCTCTGAAGGCATTCAAAACCTCTAATTAATCTTTCATTACTTCATTTTATGCACATCCGTACTAATTTATGTTTTTTATAATTACCTTAGGGACATTCCAGAAAAAGTTGGACTTGATAAAATTAGCATAGTGATATGATAGTCATTTACCTACTTTGCAGGGCTGATGTCCCAATTAATTAATTAATTAATCAATCAATCAATGTTGGCTCATTAGTTAATACCTTATATACCATCGAAGGGAAACACTAACCTCCTTCGTCCTTTGACTTAGCTACTAATGTTGTTCTTTGTTCATTTTTAATTGTGTTTATATTTGAACGCAAAGGGTATTTAATTGCCAGGCCCTCAGTACATATGAGCTATGTTTATTAAAGCTATGTTTTAAGCACTGGATAAACAAATGAAAAGTGCAGGTCTTTCAATGCTGAAGGTAATTAATTTACACAAATGAAACAAAACAGCTCATATAAGCAATGGAGAACAGAGAAATGATAATCTAAGCATTAGAGGAGTCATTGCAAGGGAAAAAGTGGCATCACTTTTTGTAACAACTTGCGATTTCTTGATAATCTCCATCCTAATTCTAACTAGCTCTGACTGTTTCATATATTCAAATTCAGTTGTTAGGTGCTAAGTGTGTAATTAACCTTAAATAATATCTTTAAAGAGTTACAAGCCAGCAGCCTAACTTTTTAGCTATTTAGCTATTGAGATTGGAAATGTACAGTGTAATGCTGCTGTTACACAAACTGCACTCTAATTTCATTTTGTGGAGTCCAAACTGTGTTGCAGCTCCTGCCCAGTAGATTCAGAAAGCATTAAGAACCTAGTGGTTCCTTGAGGCATTTGGACTGGGATATTATGTGACCCCTGCTGGTTGTTTTGGCTGACTGTTGTTTTGTTATTGATTTATAAATGAAAAATGATCTCTGAGATCCTTCATGGTATCTGAGCTTGCTTGCTTGCTTGTTTGCAGACATTTCATTACTCTACTAGGTAATATCATCAATGGTAGTGAGTGTGGGGTTGCTTCCTGTTTATATCAGTGTTTTTCAACCTTTTTTGTGCAAAGGCACACTTTTTTCATGAAAAAAATCACGAGGCACACCACCATTAGAAAATGTTAAAAAAAATTTAACTCTGTGCCTGTTGACTATATATAAAGTAATTCTCTTGAATAGGAATCAAATAAACAAAAAGAAATTA